CTGTAGTCCCAGCTACTCGGGAGGCTGAGGCAGGAGAATGGCGTAAACCCGGGAGGCAGAGCTTGCAGTGAGCTGAGATCCGGCCACTGCACTCCAGCCTGGGCGACAGAGCGAGACTCCGTCTCAAAAAAAAAACAAAAAAAACAATAAACAAATTCTGGTAACTCACAAATTTTTGGGAAAGAAGCCTGGAACTAGATTCTTACTTTAGATACTAAGGAAGTCTAATTGCCTCTAAATTCCTCAGATGAGGAGTTTTGCCTCTGGATGGTCTGCTTTACAGCCACCAGGTGATTTTTGCTCGCCTCAGTGACCTTTTAAGTCTAGGGTTTTTTTTTTTTGTTTTTTTTTTTTGAGACGGAGTCTCGCTCTGTTGCCCAGGCTGGAGTTCAGTGGCGTGACCTCGGCTCACTGCAACCTCCCCTCCTAGGGTTCTAGTGATTCTCCTACCTCAGCCTTCCGAGTAGCTGGGTTACAGGCACCCGCCAGCATGCCTGGTTAATTTTTTTGTGTTTTTAGTAGAGACGGGGTTTCACCATGTTGGCCAGGCTGGTCTTCAACTCCTGACCTCAGGTGATCAACCTGCCTCAGCCTCCCCAAGTGCTAGGATTACAGGTGTGAGCCACTGTGCCCGGCCCTAAGGGTGGGCTTTTTTTTTTTTAAAGACAGGGTTTCACTGTCGCCCGGGCTGGCATGCACGGAGAGCAGTTGTTCAGCATGGTGATTACATGATTCTTACATCGTTCCATTTTCTTTCCTTTGTTGGCTTATTAGCTCTAACTCTTTCTTTCTTCTGGTTCACTGCTCCCCGACTTCTTTCCGTGCTGTTGCTTTTTCAGTGATGGCTTTAGGGTTTCTAGAATACATCTTTATCGGTGCCATCTAGTGACATTATACCTCCCCTTCTGGCCGTTATGCTAGTGTTGTCATGTAATTTGATTTTAGACATGTTATAAACCCCAGAATCCATTATTATTGCTTTTAATTGGTCAAATTATTTTAAAAGATTTAAATAATAAAAACATATATATTTAACTATGTACATACCGATTTCCAGTAGTCTCCATTTCTTTGTGTAGATCCAGATTTCTGTCTGGTATCCTTATCCTTAGGCCTGGAGGACTCCTTTTGCATTTCTTGTAGTGTGGATTGCTGAATTCTTTCATTTTTTGTGTCTTTAAATGTCCTTATTTCAGTCACATTCTGGAAAGATTTTTCATTTTGACGTAGAATTATAGGAAAACTTTATTTATTTCAGTACTTTAGGATGTTACCACTTTGTTTTTGTAAAACTGGTATAAAGTGGGCTTCCTGTACTTGTTATATAATTTTTGGAATGTATATTTAAATTAAACACATTAAAATGGGCTGGATGAGATGGTGCATGCCTGTGGTCCCAGCACTTTGGGAGGGGAAGACAGGAGGATCGCTTGAGGCCCAGAGTTGGAGACCAGTGTGGGCAAGGTAGCAAGACCCTGTCAGTCTCTTATATATATATAATGTGTATATATACACACACACATATATATACACACATACATATATATACATATATATACACACATACATACACACATACACACATACATACATACATACATCGTGAATGTCCTACATTGTTCTTAACTTCCACCAACAGTGCACTTGAAGTAAAATGTGCCCAACCTTTGGGTTAAACCTACCTGCTGAAGTGTAAGTTGTGTTTGTAAAACATTCTCAACAGCATTTGCTGTCCCGAGCATAGCAGTTTTCATGTTTTCCTCACACCTGAATGTCTGAAGTGCAAAACCTGTCAGAAATCATTTCCTTTGCCAAAAGATTCTAAAATACTTTTTTTTTTTTTGAAATCAGCTCACTGCAACTTCCACTTCCCATGTTCACAGGATTCTCCTGCCTCAGCCTCGTGAGTAGCTGGGACTACAGGCCTGCACCAACGCACCTGGGTAACTTTTGTATTTTTAGTAGAGATGGAGTCTCACCATGTTGGCCAGGCTGGTCTCGAACTCCTGACCTCAAGTAATCTGCCCACCTCGGCCTCCCAAAGTGTTGGGATTACAGGTGTGAGCCACCGCGCCTGGCCTAAAATAGTCTTACTTCAAGTAAAAGTGCATTAAAAACAAACTTCTCAGTTGCATCCCTGGAATCCATTGAAAGCCCGGAATCAAGTGCTACAGGATCAAGAGCTAAACAGGGGAGGACAAAGGTGGCTTCCTAACTGAGAGTCGAGGCAGAGTTATCTGCTTTGGTTTCCAATGGAGACCGGAACTCGGTTCACCTGTGACAGGTCGACGTGGTCCAGAGGAGGTGGACTTTCTCTTCATGCTGCTGCCTTCAGATAGGAAATCTCCTAGGATTTCTTTCTTTCCCTTTGATCTACTCCCAATGCTCCCTTTCTGTTTCTCCAAGACCTTTGTTGGATCCCTAATGCGCAGGACCTCAGGGGCTGGTGCCCTTCCCTACCTTCTCTGCCTGGGTGTCTTCGGCACCCAAGCTCACCCAGAACGTTACTGCCTGCCAGAGACAGCGAGAGGACCAAGGAGGGCGGCAGGTGCAGTGGGAACTACAGAGTCACCATGTACCTGTGCCTCATGGGCTCCTAGCAAATTGAATAAATGCCCCCTGAAGCTTCTCTGCAGGTCAGAGGGAAGGGAAGGGTGGCTGCAGACCTGGCGGGAGACGCGTCAAGAAGCACTGGGAGGATCTGGCCCTGCCCCTGAGCCTTGAAGACAGGCCTGGCTAGGTTAATTTTAATGGGTAGGCCAAAGAAAAGGTTCAAGGGCAGCCCAAACCCCAACCCTGAGATTAAGGCTTTCAAATGTCTGATCGTTTTGATGTTGGTCCATAGAATCCATCCCGCCTTTATCAGGAGACTCCTTTGCCAAAATTCAGAGATCTGGGATTCCTGCTGGTTGCCGCACAGAAAGCCAATCACTGAGATGATTCTTGTCAAGGAAGGTGCTTTAATAGGGTGCTGCAGTCGGGGAGATGAGAACTCAGTCTCAAATCCATCTCCCTAACCAACCAAAACCAGAGGTTTAGGTGGCAGGGAAGAAATGTAACAATGTGTAAGAAAACAGAGCTAGGGAGGATCAAGGAAGCAATCATGATGAAGGAGGGGTCCCAGCATCTCATTGTCTGGATGAATTTTAGTTCTTTGATAGCTTTCTTGAGAGGCTGTTTCCTGAGGAAGGAACTCAGATAAATATTAAGTTTCAAGCTTTAAGACCAGAATGATCCATTTCTAGGTTTATCCAAAAAAGCTACATATGGGACTATTGGGTGGTTTTCAGACCAAGAAAGAAAAAGATTATGCAGACCAAAGTCTGACGTTAACCAAAGATAAAACATACTTTTCTGACCAATAGGATGTATGGGGCCAGAGAACGACCACGCTATGAAAGAACTGTTTTTTGTCCTGAGCATAGGGGAAGGATAAAGTTGCACCAACTAAGGTGGAATTAAGCTGTAGATGGGGAAAAGTTCAGAGTCCTGGGGTCTTCCTCAAAAGTCTCTTTCCCTGAAAGAGGAACCCTGTCTTGGTTTCTGCATCTCTGAGTCTTTTCGGAGGTTGGGGATGCCGAGGTCTTGGTGCTTGGCCCCCTCTAACCCTGAGTACCTCCCCTCCTGCGGGGCAACCTGGCCCAGTACCCAGGCCCCAGCTCCGGCGACCATTTCCCCCTACTTTGCTCCTAGCAAAGGCCATTTCTAGGTCAGTTGTGAGGTACAGGCAGGACGGGGCAACTTGTTCTGAGATTTTTGGCCCTGGAAGGCTTGGGGCCCTGTGTTCCTGCAGAACCGCTGTCTCCCTCTTTTGGAGAAAGCAGGGAGGAAATGACCTGTGTGGAGGGAATCGAGGGCTGCACCTGCATGGAGGAGCTGAGGCAAGCAGGGCAGTTCCGGTCTGTCAATATAAAGGACGTTTGTCATCCAAGAGGTTGGGCTATTATTATTAATTTTTAATTTCGTCAATACAAACTGAAGGGAAATTTTCTGCTTACTTGTAGGAACCTCACAAGACCTCCTATCTTCTATTCCAGGGAGAATTGCTGTGTATTACAGGAACAGATAGGTGAGACTGCTGTTCTGACCTGCAGGCCTCGATGCCCTGTGCAGGGGCACCAGAGCACCAGCAAAGCCCTTCCCATACAAAGAGCAAGCATGTTATGTCTACAACCCAAGGGCACCAGTTCCAAGTACAATTTCTACTTGGCTCTATGAGCTGAGTACATGTTCCCCCCAGCACAGAAGTTCTACAAACTCCCAGGAATGCTATAGTGAAAAGCAGGGGCTGGCCAGGTGTGATGGATAACACCTGTCATCGCAGCACTTTAGAAGGCCGAGGCAGGGCAGATCATTCGAGTCCAGGAGTTGGAGACCAACCTGGGCAACATGGTGAAACTTCAACTCTTAAAAAAACAAAACCACCACCACAACAACAGAAACAAGAACAGAAATGAGCTGGCTGTGGTGACTCGTGCCTCTGCTACTCCAGAGGCTGAGGTGGGAGGATCGCTTGAGGTTAAGATGCCACCAGATACAATGAGACTCTGTCTCAGGGAAAAAGACAAACAAAAAGAGGCTGTGTAAGAGGTGACTCTGGGGACAGTGGAAAAACACTAAGGTTTTCAAGAGGTGTTAAAAGCCAGTAGGCCTTGGGGACCATTGAGCAATCCACACAGCAGGGAAGCCTAGATCCCTGAGCTCCGCCTGCCAACAGCACTGCAGCTAACATGAGAGGTCTCCCCCACAGAGACTGAAATTTGCCTCCTTAGGAAACAAGTGATTACAGACATCTGTCCCAGGACAGTAAACAAGAAAAGAAGGTCTCACAAAAACAAAAACAGCTGACCACACCATACAATCACTGAGACCCAGCCTGCGACTGTAGGCAAAAAAAAAAAAAAAACCGCTGTCTATTATTCATACCATGAAAGAGCAGGGGAAAGTTCGAAAGCAGTCCCCTATGACTGTTGGGGGAATCAGGAGAACGGAGAGACCAATGGGTGGAACACGAGGATTTTATTGAGTGCGCTCACGCCCAGCAGATGAAAATCCAAAGGCCGAGCCCCAACAAAAACAGGGCTTGACTTTTATACACACTTCTGAAAGGGGGTTGGCTAGTTTGAACGGCGCGGCGGGAATTTAATGGCGCCAAACTCGCGGGGTAGGCAAGAGGGCTTACGGAAGCAGAACAAAGGCAGCTAATCAAACTGTGACGGGTCTTGCAAGGCAAGCATACCTGGCGACCTTACAGCTGCACTGAAAGGAAATCAGGAACTTAACAAAACATGAATAACGAGAAATGGTTAAGGGGGAGATAAAAGATAATAAAGGCATTTGTTTTCTTCTCTTGTTCTTGCTCGGGGCGGGCTGTGTAACCCGTGCTTTCCCTTCACCTTTTACTTTTCCACAAGTTACACAGTCAGATAATCCCACGTTAAATAGGGAGAGCAGCAAATAGACTCCACAGCCTAAAGAAAACAAACCACCATTGGTGACGACAGCACTTACCCTACCTATTTAAAATAAATAACAAAATGGCCGCCCCGCCACAACTTCATATGTCTCACCCTTTACATGCACGGTCACTTGCCCAGAGCACCACCCCAGCCAATCCCCACCCACCCCGAGCCCTCCGAGCCGTAATACACAGCTAGGACTCTAACGTCCAGCCAGCGGTCCTGGACTGCTCCTACAGCACGGAACTCCTTCGTGGTGAAGCAGCAGCCCCTGCGCTGTCTCATCTACATAGAAACGCCCTATCGGTGATGTCACCGACAGTGCCTTTCCCAGTCCCCTTGTCTTTCCGCCCCACCCTCCTCCACTCAGCCCACCAACCCGCTGCCGGAGCCGGCAGGGGAAGTGACGTCTGCCTCTCCCTTCTTTCCCTCCCGCCCTTGTCCTTTGGGGAGGTGCGCCGAGACCCCGCATCTAGTCTCCCCCAAAGAAGCGACTACTTAACCTGTGTCCGGAGGACCCTTCTGGCGGCCAGCTGGAAGCCTGTGTACCCGTCTTCAAATAATGACTTTTTTTTTTTTTTTTTTTTTTTTTTTTTTTTTGAGACGGAGTCTCCCTCTCGCCCAGACTGGAGTGCAGTGGCCGGATCTCAGCTCACTGCAAGAAGCTCCGCCTCCTGGGTTTACGCCATTCTCCTGGCTCAGCCTCCCGAGTAGCTGGGACTACAGGCGCCCGCCACCTCGCCCGGCCAGTTTTCTGTATTTTTTAGTAGAGACGGGGTTTCACCGTGTTAGCCAGGATGGTCTCGATCTCCTGACCTCGTGATCCGCCCGTCTCGGCCTCCCAAAGTGCTGGGATTACAGGCTTGAGCCACCGCGCCCGACCGGGAAGTCCTTTATAATAGTCTTAATTCACGTTTTGGTGAAGCAGTATGCACAATGGTAGGCTCCCCTCTTCCGGTGGGTTTGGGTTTTACCTTGAAAGTGGCTGTCAGAACAGAAGTTTCAGGGAAGGGGCCAGAGCCCTGGGGACTTTCCTCAGGTGATGGTGATGGAAGAAACGGCACGGCACGACAAGAAGGCTCAGAGTCTTACTCTGTCACCCCCCAGGCTGGAGTGCAGTGGCATGATCTTGGCTCACTGCAACTGCTGTCTCCCGGGTTCAAGCAATTCTCCTGCCTCAGCCTCCCGAGTAGCTGGGACTACAGGCATGCGCCACCACGCCCGGCTAATTTTTGTACTTTTAGTGGAGACAGGGTTTCACCATGTTGTCCAGGCTGGTCTCAAACTCCTGACTTCAGGCTCCCAAAGTGCTGGGATTACAGGCGTGAGCCACCACACCCAGTTTAACCAAGATTATTAAACCATTCTAATTTGTCAAAAGAGTCACACTGATTTTTTAAAAAATAACATAATGGGCCAGGTGTGGTGGCTCACGCCTGTAATCCCAGCACTTTGGGAAGCCGTAGTGTGCAGATCACAAGGTCAGGAGTTT